AATTATATAAGAGAGTTAACGGTGAGTCTTGGATTAAATTATGTAACAATGCCAGCGACCGTATTTTATTATATAATTCGGGAAGATCTCTTTTGCATTTTACCAGGATCCCGCGAGTATTAGAAAATTCATACTTTATTACTTATTCCAGAACTCGTGACCTTAATTGGGCCGATCTATGAAACACAATCTACGCACTTTCATGCCAAGTTTCATGGTTATATAAATGCCGCGGAAAATGGGTTTAAATTCATACCCGTATACAATGAATCATCTAATATTAGAATATAAAATTTCTCCGATTTTAATTTGAATGATATAAAAATAATTAAAAAAAAAAAAAAAAGAATGTGCCAATTGTGAAAAACTTTGCAATAAAAAAAATTTTTTATTCAGGGTTACAATTAAGTTAAAAAGAAAAATTTTTTCATATTAAAAGTATAGGAGAAATTTTAAATTTTAATGTGATAATGATTCATCATTATACATATAATGAAATTTTATAAATATTAAAAATTGCAAGAACATTATATGATATAACGATAATTAATGCAACGTGTATTTTTATAAACATTTTTGATTTAAGTTTTTTGATCATACATCATACATCATGCTTATAATTTTAAATATATTTTAAATATTCGAAATTTTGCGAATCTTTTATTTTCGCATATAAAGAGTATCTATCATAAATTATTGCTTAAAAATTATTATTTTTACTACAATATAAGACGTTGGCGTACACATTCGATTTTGAGAGACATTTTATCTGCGCGGTAGCAGTACACACAGTGTAACATATTCATTGTACATAAAATGCATCACCTATTTGATATGTTCGACTCAAAAGCCATTCAGTTGAAATAGAAGTAAAAAAACAAAAGAAAGTAAAAAAAAAAAAAAAAAAGATAAAAGGAATAATATATGCGAGTAAATTAAGAAATTATACAAAACATTTAAGCTATAAAAATTAAACTAATCAACGAAGAAAATAATTATAATGATTATACTTGAGGATGCATAATCGATATTATTATATTTAAGAGTTTTCACTGATTGGCTTTTATGCCGACTATATTATTATAGGCATCGCGAAGTCGCGCAAAGCTAAGGAAACTCATATTATTAATTACCTAACGTTCAATTCTTGAAAGAATAAGAGAGTAATGTCATTCGTGCCTTGTGAGCAAACTGATGTGCCTTAATATCTAGAATGTTCTGATAATGATCTGTCAGCAAAAATTCATCAAAAGCAAGAAATCGCGTTTTATATTGTAACATGATCACATTAATATTAAAGCTGTGATTATCAAGATATTTCGTATCATTTGTAATCTAGACATTAAGGTTTCAACTCAGAACTCGTCATCAAACAAGCCGAATTAATCAAGAGATTTTTTATCATTTTTTTTGTACATGAAATAATATTATATAGGGTTAAATTGTTAATCAAATTTTTCCAAAATCATCGTTGTTGAAATTATTGTTAGAACTAAGAAAATTTATTGAGTATTTATATTTTTTAGTATAAAGATCAAGTTTCCTAATTCCACACAAATTTATTCTAGCACATACTTCTATTTTTCTAAACGAATGCTTGTAATCCGAGAGATCTGTGACAAAGATCATTGGTAATGATCAACGAAATCAAATGTTTTTTGAATATAAAATTTTTTGCATGCCTCGCATTATTTGCACAACATGTAACATTTTCATCGATAATTGCTCACATTTTCTGAAAGAGAACCTTAAACTTTGTTTAAGAAATTATTTGTATATTTATCTATAAAATTACAGAGTAATTAAGATATGATTACCGAACTTTGTATCACAGAGATAATTGGATAGTATAATGATACGATTGGTTCGCACAAAATGTTCACTTTGTGTTTCGTTCGCTTTGCACGTTTCGTACACCTTGTACATAGATAGGATAGTTTTGTACTGTCATAAGAAAAAGAAGAAAATTGAAATAATCACGTATTGTGCCACGCGAAGAAAAATCGAATAAGCAAAGAAGAATTCGAAAGAGAAGAAATGTAATGGCAGGTAACGTGAATCAACGTGCGCATAATAATAATTTATATACGAATCTACATCTAGATATTACGAATAAAATGTTAAAAAAAGGAATGAAAATAATCTTCGAGATTAATGATTGTTTTGTAATCGCGGCTATGTACATAACATTTTTAGAAAATTTAAGCAATAATCATTATTCTCAAGTTCTTTTTTTGAAGAAAAATTGTTCACTTTTGAAAATTGTTCATTTTTTTTAAACAAACAATACAAAAATATAAATTATAATTCCTTTTGAGTTAAGAATAATTTAAAACTTTATTACAAATGTTTCGTTAATTCAACGAAAAATTATGCAATCTCATATCAATATTTTTTGATTAAAGAACTCGAGAACAATACGAGTACTTTTTCATTTATCAACCATATTATAATTTGAAAAAAAGAAAATTTATCAATTTAAATTTAACATGTGCTCATGCAATTAATCTTTTTTGTGAAAAATAAAGAAAACTGTTTATTATTTATTCATAATTTCAATTATTGAATTAAATATTCTGAATTAAATCAATTATAGATTAATTAAATTTGATAATGAAATATAACATATATACAAATCCAAATAAATAAACATATTAAATATGAAATAAAATGCAAATAGCATCTTTAGAACTCGAATCTACCTTTCGAATTATATATAATTAAAATTATATATATAACAACTGTATTATATATATATATATATATATATATATATATAC